TTCCCCTTTCCCCAATTCCCCAGCACTGTTCCCATCCCCCCAATTCCCCAATAAAAATCTTTAAAAAAAAATAAAATAAAAAAAAATAATAAATAAAACTAAGACTGAAAGAGGGTTTACCCAGACCTGACAAGAAATGAGCAAAAAGAATTGTGAAATGCACCCGGATTTCAGAAATACGGACTTGTAATCATCATTGTTACGAGGAACCTCCCCATGTAGACAGGTCCTTGGGGATATTTGGTAATGACAATTAATAAACCATTTAAAAATCTCTCGAAGATTTTACATTTCTAGTGTTTGCTTTATAATGTACACAATACAAGTACCCCTCACTATGCAAGCTGATTTGGTTCCTGGGTTTGGGTTTGACTTCAGAAAGCAACGGATCCCTGAATATTAATGGAGTAGCAAGTAAATGGATATAATTTATAAATAAATACTTGTATGCTGGGGAGGTTTGCTCAAAAAATTTTACTATTATAAAAGTGACCAAATGTCAATGTTCAAATATGTCACTGAAGAATCCTGTTTAGACCTACACTTCCAGCAAGTTCTCGAGTTGTACTGATGCTGTTTGTGTAGAAACCACACTTGAGTGGCAACTATTGGGTTCTCAGAAAAGTCATGACGCATTTTGCAATGAAAAACATAGAAAAAATGTCATGACTTTTCCGACAACCCAATAGTTACTGTCCACCTTTTTAAGGAGGCAAGTCGTATGTGAGCACTAGTCGGCAAGAAGTGACATCACAAGATAAAACACAAATATAATCTCAGTCTGTATTTTTACTAAATAGAAAGTACTCTTACTTGGTGGGCGTAGACTGGGTCCAGGTCCATAGTTGTCATCATTTCCTTCTTTTTCTTTTTTTTCCTGATCCCCAGCTGCCTGCAGGCTGGGAAATTCTTGCTGAAAATGACTATTCACCTGGATTCCTATAGATTTTTAAAAAAACATTAAATGTAACTTCCATACTGAAGTTAATTAAAAAACCCTCCTAGGATAGAGTTCTCTGACTTTTTTCTGATAAATGATTCCACAATTCAATGATGACTATTCACACCCATAAAACTTTTACATTTATGTAGAGTTAGAATCCCTTAGAAAGTTAATAAACAGCCATTAGGAGATAAAAATCTAAGAAAGGAACCCACCAGACACTGTTCCAGGGGACTCATTAAAGAGGATGAGGGGGGGGGTAAGGAGGTTCACTTCTGTTTCTTATTATGACTCCTTACATTTTCAATACAAGTCACATCCCTTTGCTAATAACTCGGAGAATCAGTTCAAATGATATTACTGAGATGGAATTTAAGAAGGAATGCTCAAATACCACAGTGAGGCTAACATGCCTCCGTTTAATTTACTGCTGAGATACTGGTCACACCTCACTATTCGCCCACCTGCCTGCTTCTTTTTATACTCCTGTAAATTAAAAGAGCTGATTTTATTAGCTTCAGGGCCTAGTTTTTCTCCACACAATGTTTTATAGACATTTCCTGTTTTGCAAGTGCAGAATGTTTGCTGGGGAGTCCACTGCTCCTTGGGGGGAAGACAGCGTTACAGCAGCCACACTTTATGGCTACTCTCTGCTCTTCTCTACCACGGAAATCGTGGGCGACACATTTGAAACAGAGAGGTTGGGGGCACAGCTGAAAGTGAATATGGTTTCAAGCAACCATGCAGTGTCTGGGTGCGTAGGTCTCAGAGTTAAGTACAAGGTTTTGTCTGGTCAAGTAGGGTCAAGATATAACGTGGGACACAGGGTTTCGTAAAGACCCTTTTTTTAACCCCCATCATTGGGTCACACAAGCTCTTGACACTGAAAGTACCTAGCCCAAGAGGTTTTTAAGACGCCTTTTGAGAGGCTGAGCACATCCTTTGACAATGCTCTCCGTCCCTGCCGAAACACAATACCAGCCCCTTATCTCCTGCCTGGCTGTCCAGTGACGCCCTGGCCTGACCCGTTTCCCCAGTCACGTCCACTTACCATCTCCTTGCCCACCTGGCTTGTTACTGGCCCAGGATTTGGGAGCAGGTGCTACTTCTGGGGGAGGTGCCACTCCAGGTTTCGGCTGTGCTGGTGGAACTTCTGGTGCTCTTAAAAAAAATATGGATCCATTATTTCAGATATTATATATTTAAATGAAATAAGATGAATATTATATTTAAGGTGAATGTGTTATTGTGGCTCCATGTTTACTCCTAGATGCAGCCTCCACAAATGCTTTCTCTCTGCCACATTCCTTTAAATGAAGAGCTGCTATTTTTGTCCTGTTCTTTTCTACCTCTGAATAACCCAAGGAGAAGACAGCTCTGCTTTTCATTTTGTATATAAAAAAACAAAAAAACCACAACACTCAGGCTCCCAGAAATATGTTTTGAATAAGGGAGCGTGTATAATTAGAAATAACAGTTCAGGCATACCTACGGCCTGGGCTGGTGGATTAGCCAGGGGAGGCTAACCAAGCTCTCCGTGTGGCAGTCACACGCTCCCCACTGTACTTAGCGCTGTTATTTGGACGTAACACCAACCTGCCTGGTGCACCCCCACAAGTAAAGGGTGTTTCCAAAAGCGTCTACAGTTTCAGTCAATCCTTGTAACGAGTTAACGCTTAAAAATGGAAAAGGTCGCTAAGAGACTGAAGAAATGTGCTCAGACCTCTGAGTGACTTGCTACTACAAAAAATTCCACAACTAAGAAGCAGAGAACAGCCAGTCTTTGATAACCTTTACTCCAGCAGCTCCCCAAACCAGAGAACAGGAGATTAATAACAGATAAAGGCAAAAAACACCAAGTACCCAATTGCTTGCCTTATTTTTAAAAATTACCACTACTTAACTTGGTCATTCAATAAACTAAGAGCCCAGCATAATCCTTGACATACAGAATGTTAAATGTTTGTTGAATGACGATGACTAGGGGTATTATTAATTCTAACTCAGCTTTCACTCAAATACCATTACCTCAGCACTTACGATGTGCATCAGGCATAATTTCAGGAAGAGGGAAGACAGAAATCCTTAGCTTCATGGGAATTATTTAACAGAATCAACTTCTAACCACATTAGAAAGAGAGTGCCTGATTTAGTGGGTGTGGGGGAGGAGGGAACCTGGCAAAGCAGGTAAGAAAAGTGGTGACTTGCCATTGTCACCTGCTCTATCTTGACACATGGAAATAGTGTCACTAAACCCACTCACCGGGAACATGAACGGAAAGCTGACTACACGTAATACACCTACAGCAGCACCCAGCAGGAATGCCAGCACGTTCCCCGTACAGAAGGTGACACCACTTACTTTTCCTCCTCGTGTTGCTCTTGCTTGGACGCCCAGCCTGTGCCGTCTTTAGGGACAATGTTCACATTCGGATCGTTGCCTTTGTTTTCGGCTTTGAGACTTGGCAGGTTAGCAGGTGGAGGCATTCGCCGGGAAATACCAACTTTTCCAAGACTCTGTAATCCATGTCGAGCTGCAACTAAAGATCGATAACATCAACTTTCTTAGAACATCTATTTTACCATCCGATTTATTCTTAAAATATAGAAATAGAAATTAATGGAATCTTGAACTATTATTTCCTAATAGTTTAAGATAAGAATTTTTAAACTGAGCCACACATCTGCAACAAAATCCCATGTAGAAATTATATTAGAATTAACTATCAGAGCTGCTGACCAGATCCCTTAAAAACTCTAACAATAAACTCTGCAAACTATGAAAAGTAAACACTGACAATGCTGGCTTTGACATTTTTTCAGGAAATCCATTTCAACCCCAAAACTTAGTCTGTTGAAGAATAATACGCTGACTCTAAGTCATAACAAACACTGCTAATGTAACATGTGGTCCAGTTTTCACTTTTCATGAACACTAGTTCCGAGGTATCAACAACAAAACAAAACAAAACACCACAGGACTCTCTAGTCCATAACCTGAAGTGGTAATAAATACTAATATATAGCTCTATGCCTACCAATCTCATTGACTGCGTTTCCTCTTTGGAACCACACAATTCTACTCATTTTCTGCTGACAACAAACAAGAAAAAACAAACATATTTCTAATTTTTAATTGTAAGATATTTAATTCTTATCCCGTGAAAAATGTGTGTGCACATAAAAAGCCCCATGTGACCAGGGCTGCATTAACATGGGTTTGTCCTAGTTTCTAAGGGCGATAGCTACAGAGTACCATTCACAGGAGCCAAAGCATGAAAAGCATACAGAACTGTAAATGCCACTTGATTTTACTCACCTGTGGTTTTCTGTGTCTCTAATGATTTACCCTTGTAAGTATTAAATAAACTGAGTGTTGCATACTTTTTCCCATCCTTTGCTTTTGTGCTCTGGCCTGACTTCTCCGACATTTCGGTGGAGACTCATCGAGTCCGAAACCTCTTGTCACACCCCTTAAAACCAGTCTGAGATGCACATAAGAAAGAAAATGAAGAATGTATCAGCTTACTAAAACCAAGTAAATCCAAATGTTCACAGAAATTCTGAAAAATAAAAACACAAAATTAAATCATTCTTCAGTAACGTATCAATAACACTAATTATCTCTCATACAATTTCCCCTCGATTGAGGTATACACACATCAGCCTTAGGGGTTTGTTTGTTTGTTTTGAGGGGTTAGAGTGGGAGTAGGGCAGAGGTGGGGAATTCTACCAAGAAATCATCAAGAGCTAAAAGCATCGAGAGCTGAAGTACGGGAGTTAAAGACAATGCAGAACAGGTAATAGGTACACCACGCAAAAAGCATTAAAAGTCAAGGGATGCCTGTGTGAACCCTAACATCATAAAAATCATTTTATCGGGCCAGCCGAGTGGCACATTGGTTAGCAGTTGGTTTGGGACACCAGCTCTGAGCAGCAAGCCCCCGGTTCAGATCCCACATGAGGGCCAGTGACGCTGCGCCCTCTACAGCTAAGATGGTGAATAACAGGCTCAACCTGGGCTGTCGTGAGTCGCCTGCTACGGCGTAGGCTGCAGTGGGGCTGGCTGGCAGCAGGTGTGAACTTTCGCGAGCTGCTGTGAATGGCCATCCAATGGCTGGCGAGCAACTGCCTTACCTGGGAAGAGCGCAATGATAATACCAACATGGGCCAGTGAAGCGACATCCTCCACAACTAGACTGAAGAACAAAANCAATGATAATACCAACATGGGCCAGTGAAGCGACATCCTCCACAACTAGACTGAAGAACAAAAGGACAGCAACTTGTCTGTTCCCCTCCCCCAATTCCCTAATAAAATCTTTAAAAAATAAAATAAATAAAAATCATTTTATCGACTGGCTTTACATTTGTCATATCGCAAGATGAGCACCACACGCAGAGATGTGGTTTTATATACATATCAACTGCCACACTCAGTAATTGTGCAGTTCCATTAAGTTGATCAAGAATCTTGGAATCTCTTATGATATAGCTAGTATCCTGATTTTATAGATGAGGAAACTGATGTTCAGAGGTCAACGAGATTGGATTTGAAATCAGGCTTCTGGGTCAGTCCATCACACCATGCCACCTCCTCCTCATAACCACTCAGCTCTCCAAGTATACATTTATAATAAACCACATTTTCCTGAGACAAACTGAAAAAAACTCCCCTGTAATCAAAACAACACTAATATAAAAAGACAACTTACTATCGTATGTGCAACAATGTATATAATTAATTACACCCCAAGGGTGCTAACAATGTCGATGGTGTAGAGAGAGCCGGACTCCCAGAATGCACCTTTGCTGACAGATATTCACCAGTAACATGGACAAAGCTATAGGAAGACTATTATTCATCTATATGTGACAAAAGAGGGCAGTGCATACTCAATAGACGACATAATTAAGATTCAAGATCTTTCTTACGGTGAAAAAAAGTAACTGATGTATCAAGAACTACAGTCAACTTGTTCTCTCACCCTCATTTGATGGCAATGTAACACCTAAGAACCCTCAAACCTCTCAACAACACACCTACCCACTAAGGTCTCTTAGTGGAGACCTTCATGTGTTTACATCAGAAACAAAGCAGTATCAAGAAAGACACTCCTGAGCCTTCCTAGGGGCAAAGCCAGGAGCCCACCTGTACCTGCATTCATCTTTCCCAAAGCTTCTCTTCCTCCACCTACAGTGGTTCCCAGCATCACCTAGAAACTTGTTAGAAATGCAAATTCTCAGGCCCATGCTAGACCTACTGAATCACACTGAGAATGCGTGAGGCCCAGCACTGCTTTAGCAAGTCCTCCAGGTGATTCTGCGACATACAAAAGTTTAGGACCCACTTACTTATTATAAGCAGATATATTCTAAGCAATGGTTCTTCTTAATCCTTCCTGCACGTTAAATCACTAGGGGGTTTCAAACACACCAGGATCTGGGGTGTCGGATGGCGCCTGGGCATCAGTCCTTACTTGGACAAAGCTCCTCTGGGGATTCTAATATGAGAGCAGTCCACAAATCACTGCAATAAAGGAAGTGTATCTCTCCTTCCATCCCATCTAAGGCCAGTCCATCCACCTGCGCTGTCCATCCTGTTCTCATTTCCTTTCTCATTCTCATTCTAAACTCTTCTCTGTAGGAAAATCTCACCCACTCCTATGGTTTCAACTAGCAATTGATCATCCAAAATTTATATCTCCAGCCCAGAACTCTGTGCTCCTGAATACTATATCCTACTGCTATTCACATTTCTTCTTTGCTTGAAATAAAGTTTCAACTTTATTTATATGTTCAACCTAGACACAGGCATCTATTTTACATTAAGGGTTTCAGAACAAGCCTACCAAATATTCTGCACAGCATGACAGGAAAATGGCAGTTAGAAAAATTAAAACGACAGTCAACAGACAAATTATATCAACATTTGACAAAATGTGAATGCTGTGTAAGTACTCAACAAATTAAAAAACAACAAAAAAACTTGAAGAAACCCCAAAAGTAATGCTACGAACAGTCAATTCACTAAGAGAAATAACACCAATAAATAAATGTATCCAAATGTTTAAGTTCTTAAGTAAACAAAAGTTAACAAGGTAGGGGGTCCTCAATTACACAAGGAAAACAATGTAACTATGCAATTCAACCACAGGGTGACAGAATATCTAAGTTCTAACCATCACAAAACATTCGGGCTTGGAAAGAATCATAAAACGAACCTTAATTTTCCTATCTAAAAGCAAAACAAAACCAAAAATTTTCCTATAGATAAGGAATTTCCAAATACAAAAACAGAACAAGCAACTGACCCCAAAAGCCACAAAATACAGGTTCTACATAAGGTCAAAGTAAAAGTTCCTGCAAGTATATTATAAAATTCGTATGAGTAGTTCTTGTTAAGGAAACTCTGTAAAAAGTTTCCTTTTCTATGATGAAACTACTGTCTATAATATTCCCTTTAGGACACGCTCTTTTCCCAAACAAGAAGCAAACAAATACATGCTGAGTGGACTGAGGTGAGAAAGCTGGACAAAGCATCAGATTCTCAGGCAACCAGAACAGAAAATAAATTCACGTTTTGTATACTTATGAGTCTCTCTTGTTTTTATGGTTTTATAGAACCTATCATACCAGAAAAAAAGTAAATCATAACACACAACTGGTTAGTGTAAATAAACAAACAAAAATCAAAAGACAATTCAATCAAAAGACAAAGCCAACCTATCATTAAACATTATCTATTGCTATAAAAGAATATGTATTTCTAAAGACAAAGAATTATAGCCATAAACTATAAGACTGAATAAAGCAGAGCGTCCATTTCCACCATAGTGGTCTGTCGTTTATAGACGTGGGCACTTTTAGTTTAAAGCCAGTTTAATTTAGCCTATTATCTTTCTGGTTATCTTGCTTCTAAAAGGCTTGGGAGACACGCTGAAACCCTCGATTAGATTGAAACTTCATTCAACAGATACTTGAGAGAAAAGCCAATGACTAGTTCAAAAATTAAAATTACTTTTAGGACAAAGTATCAGAAGTAGCCAACAAATCCAGAGTAAGTCCCATCAAGACTTAGCCTCACTTTGTATAATTAAAAATGTTTTTTTAAAATGTCATTCCTGTTTGGATGCCTAAAATGAATCAAAGAATCATGGATACACAGCAAGGAAGGGCAGTGATCCCTAACAGATGGGAAACAAATGAAGTGAGCAGTATGGCTTCCTGAACTTACTGCCTGCGGGGAGAGTTCCCAGGGCATGGCAATGAGAATGGAAGCTGCTATATTTCCTAAGGTGAAAATCAATGAGGCTGAGATCAGGGTGACCAAGGCAGCACAGATATAATACTGGAAAGAAGAGAGATACAAGCAGAAAATGCTACAGATCTGCAGAGGACCCCCTCTGAGTATTCAGCAGAATACTAATCTGCTCGTGTGAGTGTCAACTCCCCAAAGCTAGGAAAGAACCGCCTGGAATGATCAGAGGGAAACAGAGCCTGCTGCTCACAAAGGGCTGGGAACAGTGCCTGTTCTCACCGTAATTCACTGGGCACACATGGGTAAGAGTATTCGGAAATGCCGCACCTCAGTGGAGGTAAAATACTCTAAAGCAGCGGTTCTCAACCTGTGGGTCGCGACCCCTTTGGGGGTTGAACGACCCTTTCACAGGGGTCGCCTAAGACCATCGGAAAACAAAAAGATATTTACATTACGATTCATAAGAGTAGCAAAATTACAGTTATAGAGTAGCAACGAAAGTAATTTTATGGTTGGGGGTCACCACAATATGAGGAACTGTATTAAGGGGTCGCGGCATTAGGAAGGTTGAGAACCGCTGCTGTAAAGGAAACATTGCTCTGGTCTTGCCTAGCAAATCTTCCAACAACACTCAAAATGAGCAAACTGTTTCCAGGTAACTGAGTCCCAAACTTAAAGAATATTTATAAAAAATGAAAATATATCCAGCATCCTCGTGTAAAACCCACACTGTGGCATCCAATGAAAAATTATCATGCAGGCAAAGAAGCAGGAAAATACAAACCATAAAAAAAACGAACCATATTAAAGAGAAGACTCAATCAACTGAAACAAGCCTAGTTACCCAGATATTAGATTTATAGGACAAGAATATTAAGTTACTTTACTATAACTGCATTCTACATGTTCAATAAGAAGAAAACAGCAATGAGCAATCAGAAATTGAAATTAAAGTACAACTTATGATAGCAATTAAAATAAAAATATTTAGGGGTTCAGTTGACAAAAATTGTGTAAAATTTGTATACTGAAAACTAGAAGACATTAAAGAAGACCTAGATACATGGAGATATGTATGCTGTGTTTACAGGTCAAAAGACCCAAAATTAAGATGTCAGTTCTTGCCAAATAGATCTATAGATTCAAAGCAATCCGAAACAAAATCTCAGGAAAAAAAATTGGGGAGGAGTGGGCTGGCGTTTGAATTTGTCAAGCTGATTCTAA